TGGATGGATGGAGCTGGGACAGCAGACCCTCTCCTGGCCCCTCTGATCAACCATCACCTCCCCACAGCAGCCAAAAGCAAGGGATTAGATTATGGCCATACAAGGCCTGGGGAGATAGGGGTGAGTTCTTGTAGCCCGGCTGGATTTGGGCAGCCCTTTGGCTCCCAACCAGATTCCAGCCGGCAGCAGTGACGCAGCGCATTGGCTTCCCAGCCTGGCTCACTCCCTTCCAGGCACTGCCTCCCGGGCACGCTGGGTTATGTCATGAGCTGCCCTCACCTCCTCTCTGGCCGGAGCAGTGTGGGATCAGGCACTGGCCCATGGACCATGGCACCCCACTGCTGTTTGCACCCAAGGTGGTGCCAACCTACACAGCCTACGCTGGGGCAAAGCACAGTCCCATGCCCTGTGCTCTTGTTGGGCATGGGGCAGCATTGTTCAACCCTTCTCCTTGTCGATTAAGGCCATGTATAGGCTTCTTAATGAGCTTTCTGGCTTGCAGAAATCCTGCTTTCCATTGATTCGACATCCCTTGATCCTACACAAACCAGAGTCAAGACACAAGTACTGGTCTGTGCCCACCTTAACTCTGGTTTCTTAAAGTGGGCAAATGCAACAGCCCTGCCAGAGCATGTCCGAATAGTGCTGGGGGAGAAGGCAAGAGGGTCTTGTCCCTGAGCCCTACCCTCCCTCCCAGTCCCTTTCCCTTCCCTCCCATGAAGGTGGGAGCTGGCAGGGAGACCTGGCCCCGTGCATAGTGATGCTGAGCGGCCCTGGCAAACAGTCCTCACTCATCCATGGATCAACCCAAGTGCCAGATGATGCCATCTCCAGCACCGCACCAGGGTCCTCATCTTCCCTCTGCATGCTGAAGGAACCTCTCTTTCCTAGAGAGGAAAGAGGATGGAGCCTGCACTTAGTGGTAGAAGCTCCATGTGGATGCCTGCCCATGCATGGCCAGCCCCGGTGGCTCTGTCCTGGCGACCAGGAGGGCACCAGGAGCTGGTGTTGGGCAGTACCATGCTTACAAGGAAAACACGTTTAAAGATGTTAAAACCAGCAGTGGCTGGTTCCCTCCTCAGGACTCATCATTGCTTTCCGGGGTCACAAAAGAGTTGCTGGGCTGGTAGGTGAGAGGGCTCGGCCATCCCTTGATGGCACTGCTGGTGTCAGGCTTGGCATTGTGGAAGCAGACAGAGATAGATGGAGCCCGCAGCATCTCCACCATGAGTTGGGTAACTCCTGGCCAGGCAGTGACGCCAAGGACCAAGGGGTGGGGGCAAGCAGTTTCGGTCGGGGCAAGAGCAGAGGCACCCAAACCAGTGATTACCTTCGCCCTGAGCTGCTAAGTGGAGGAAGTCTGTGATTAGTTGACACTTCCAGCCAGGCTTTGGAAATTCAGCTGGAACAGGGAGTGGATGACAGCTGCTTTATTCACTGCTGATATATAAAACTGGAAACACGGTGTCCAGGTACTGTATCAGCATCCTCCGGTGGTGGGCGACAAAAGGGACAGTGATGAATATTGCAGCGAGGCCTCGGGGTGTTCATGGGTAAGGGTAGGTTTTGGTGCTGTGACTTCAGGCCCTGGGCAGGGGTGTCCGAGGGCTCAGGGATGGGGTTTGTGCTGGGTTTGGTTTTCACGTGCAATTGGCTTTGAACCTGCACCAGCCACTGCTGAGGGTCTTACCTGGCCCCTGCAGCTTTGGGCAGGCAGGGGCTTGCACCCAGGGCTTGTCACTGGGCTTTGGGGTTCTTGTGTTTGCAGATGGCTACTGGAAAGGGAAGAAGGAAGGTGGCTGCGCTCCCCTGCGTGGCATAACCCTTACCAACCCCACACAAAGGAGAGCATCTGCATGAGCAGCCCCAAGGTCCATATCTGCTCTGCAAATGAGGGATGCTCGTGGTCCATCCCTGTGGTACAGCTGCATGTTTGCCTGGCCATGTGGCCCCTAAAGCTTGCAGCACGGAGGGCCTAAGCCAGTGAGGCTAGCAGGTAAAACCCTTCTCCCCCTGGAGAGCAGCATCCATCTGAAGGTCAAACAGGGATGAGAAAAGTATGGCATCAATGCAAAGTATGATATGAATGACAGTGGGTTTGTGGGATTTGCACTCTTTCTGGCTCTGCAACGCTCTTTGTGGGGCTCTGCCACCCAGCCACTTCCCTCTTGGGGTGCCAGGTAATGCAAGGTGACATTGGACCAACGCAGATCCTGGACAAGACCATCAGCCTCCATCCACAGCGCCTCCCCTGCAGCCGTGCACAACCCAGGACAGGGCAGCACAGCTTTGCCTGCCCCGTCTCACCGCCATCCGGTCCGTGCCCGCTGCCTGGCACAAAGAGATCTCCCAGATTAGCCCGTGCCAGGATCCAGCTTCTTCCCGGAGCTGCTGAGTGCGAGTGAGGAGTTTCCCATCACCCATGGCCATGTGTGCCCTGCAAACAGCGGGGCTTCCGGGGGGGGAGGTATTTATTTAGGGTTAAAAGCATGACATTGCACGTCCCGGCAGGGCTGGGAGCATACAGCCTACCAAACACCCTTGGATAGACCTGGCATCTCGCCGGCCCCATCCCAGCCTGGCACCGCCGGAGCTCCGAGGGAGGCTGTGACTGCCCCTGGAAAAGGACTTTGCCCCCCATGGGCCGCGGCTCGGTGGCTCTGCCACCCCATGGACCCACTGAGAGCTCCTTTCCCTGGCACGGGGATGAGGCTGGGTGTCGCTTTTTGGGAGCCCAGGGCTGAGCACCCCGTGCTTTGGAATAGCGAGCGAGAGCAGCGTTCCGCGGAGCTGCGACTCCCTCTGGTGCCTGCCCCGAGGCTCCCGGGCTCATCCCTTCCCTCTTCCCGCAGCCCCGTTATGGAGGGTTTGGGGTGCCCTGCCTGGCAGTACCGGGGTGGGGTTTGAGTGGGGACCGGTGCCCAACTCCCGCCTTGGCAGCAGCCCTGGGAGCCGCTCGGCTGCGGAGCAGGGGATGCGCCAGGAGCTATGGGGCCAGGGCCTGGATTTGGGGAGATAAAGCTGCTCTGGGGGGGCACAGAGATGCTCTGGGGGGGATGGAGGCAGGGCTTTGCTGCAGATGGAGCTCCTCGCTCTCCCGCCGGCCTGCAGCAGGGGTGGGATGAAGTGGGATGAAGTGTTATTCACGGCAATTTTCTCCTTCTTGAGGTGTCTGCCAGACCCTGAAAGGAAAAGAGGCCGGTGGGGAGGGGATGGTGGTGATTAGTGTCTCATCAAGTTAATTACCCAAATGTGCTTGGCCTGAGAGAGGAGGGGGAAGCCCCACCTAACCCCAGCTATTAAACAAGCAAATCTCGGCAGCCTCAGTGATGCTAGGGACCAGGGGATGGTGGGTTTGGGGTGTCCGGCTGCGGCAGCTGGGGGAGGGAAGAGCTGGTGGTGCCCCACTGCCAGCCCCTGCAGTCTGCTCCTTCCTCTGCTGGGGGAGGAGGATGAAGGGGAGGGTGTGCAGTGGATGCGATGGCTTCAAAGGGAACTCTGCCCCCCCTTTATCACAGCACTGGGGTGCAAATACTGCAACTTTTGCTAACATCTCCTGCATTTGGGGCTGGAAATGGTCCCTTTGGGGACTGCAGTGGGCTTTGCCCCTGGGGGGATCGGGGGGAGGGCTTAGGGCTGTTGGGTGCATGTGTACCATTGTGCTGTGCTACAATGACCCATTTTCCTTCCTTTGGGAGCAGTGACATGGGAGGATATTGCTGGGGGCCAGGTTTGTCCTTTCTAGGTGCCAATTTTGGCTGGGCTTGGTCCTGAGGGCTGAAGGTTGGATGAGGACTGTGGTGTGGGACTGATTCTTGGGGCTGGCAGCTTCCTATGGAGGTGCTCATGGGTCTCTTGTGGTGCCCATGGAGATGAATACGCACAGGATCAGCAGCTGCTGACAAGAGCTCGCTGTATGCGGATTACACTGATCCCCTCCAGCCTCCCTGCTGTGTGCCCAAGGATTTCTGAGTCTTTAGTGTGTTTTTCCTGCTAAATTGGAGGTGTTTGTGTCCACAGTGCAAGGGCCAAGTGAGCTTTTGCTTTCATCCCTAAAACAGCTGGGTCAGTGGGGTTGCATGGCTTGGCCTGTGCATGGTGCAAAATCAGATGTAAACCGGGGGTCAAAAGGCTCTTTTGGAAATGGAGCTCTGCAAGGCAGAAAATAATCAGATTTGGGGCTCTAGCTCTGAATCTGTTGGCTTTCCTTATGGCTTTGTTCTTGTTACTGCTGCTTTCCTATGAGCATTGTGACTCCCACCTTCACTGGAGCCCAAAGGAAGAGGCTCTTATGGGTTCAGTGCTTTCCCCTGAAGCCAAAATGGCATCTCAAGGGAAGGTGTCCCTGCCTGTGGCTGGGGGATGGAACTGGATGAGCTTTAAGATCCCTTCCAACCCAAACCATTCTATGGGCTGTGATCCCGGTGGCAGCAGGGGTATGAACCATGCCATGTGCCTGCCTCTGCCTGTGCACACCAGCACGCTCACTGCTGCCTCTGTGGGATCCTTGATGGCTCATGCTGCTCTTGGATATGGGGTTGATCCCCATCTCCTCCTCCTTGGCCAACACCACATAACCAGTTCTGCTCTGTTCTGCGCTAGTGCAATGGCAGCTCCACCACTGCTCACCTTTGACACCCATGGTGTGATGAAGGTAATGGAGGCATCATTCAGGAGCGGACCCAGCAGCCCCATCCGATGCACCCTTTGTGCCTGGCACCCACCTTCCTCTGGCCTGGCAGCATCCACGGGTGCTCTCCCGTCTGTGGGCTTCCCTTGCTGTGTATCAGAATGAATCACTGGCCTGGCTGAGCTTTGGATGCTGCTGTAATTTGTGGCTCTGGAAATAATCTTTCATAATAGAAGCTTTTACAGTAAATGAAGCCTCAGCTTCATTTGCAGCAGATGTGATTTTCTTTAATTGTTGTTAATTTTTTTCCCAGGATATGATGACAATCCCTGGGGATTGGTGCAACCTGGATGTGAGGTTTGCTTCCCTGCAAGGGGCTGCAGCGATGTGGTGTTACGGGAGGTGCTGAGCCTGTCCCAGTTTGGGGCTGGGGTACCCCAGCAATGGGTATAGCCTTGTCTATGGGTTTGCTAGGGGTCAGTGCTCATCAGTGTTTTGGGGGTCAGTTGAACTGATGGGGGGGTTTGATAGGGAGAAATAACAAAGCAAGAACAAATCCAGTGCCACTGCATAAAGTGATGTGGGTTTAACCTTCCTCCATAGAGAAATGGAGCTCAAGGGGTCCCAGTCTTTTGGGGTTCCTGCACTGTGTTAAGTAGGAGGCATGATGGAAAAGGGAGGAAATTCTTAGGGCATTGCTGAGAACAGCCTGGAAGAGGGACCCTGTGGGATCGGGGCTGGGTGCCAGGCACAAATCTGGGGTGACCTGGTCCCTGTAAGATGCTCCCCCCCCAGGCACAGAGGATTGTGCTGTGCAGCTCCGCAGCAGCAGCAGTGTGCGCAGGCAGGAGCCAGGCAGCCGTGCGCTGCAGCCTCCTCCTTGCTGGGAAAAAGGCCGGTTTCCCCCCCAAAAAACAGCTCCCTCATGGGACAGGCACCGTTTGCAGCCGCTCCCCGGCAGAAGCGAAACCCAATCCCCGTCCTCAGCGCTCCGCTTGGGTTTCTCAGGGCTATTTCTAGCACTTGGCTCCTTCTCCTCCAGCGTTTCCAATGCCTCTCTCCATCTTTTTTCCACTCCTCCGCTGCCCCCGTCTCCCCCCATGACCTCGGCCCAGTGTCCTCCCCATGGCCCCACCGCGGTGGCAGCTCCCCAAAAGGGGCTTCCAAGGCGGGTTATTGCCAGTGGCTCATCTGCATCCGCCCTCCTCCCGGTCCTCCCCTGCTCCTCCCTTCTCCAAATCGCTGCCGTACGACACCGCCGGTGCGCGGGGCTGCGCGGCCGCCCAGCAACGGCCGGCACCGGGGGAGCCACCGCGCCGGGGGTTGGCGTGAGTAGGGGGCTGCGGTGGCGGGGGTGTCCCCAGGGGGGAGGCCGGGTGGCTCCGGCTGTCACCGCTGCCTTGTGTCCTGCCGGGAGTGTTGGGTTTTGCCATCCCTGTCCTTCCCGTGTCCTTCAGCGGGAGCCCATCGGCACCGGGGCAGGGTGCTGTGGGTGCTACCCTGTGTGTGGCTTCTGCTCGGCAGGGAGATGCCGCTGGAGGATGGGGATGCAGCGAGGCAGAGGGGCCAGTGGGTCAATGGCAAGGTCAGTGGTACCCCGTGGCTTGGGGAAACAGGGGACCCGCTGCTCCAGGACACGACAGCACCCGATGGCAGCAGGACGGAGCCAACACTGGGTGACAAGAACGTGGCTCCCAAGGGGGCCCTGCAGCAAGCAGGGCGGCGTGAAGAAGCCTTGATGACTGAGCTCTCGGAGCTGGTGCAGAAGGTGGTGAAGAGCAGCAGCTGGTGGGAACGGCACGGGGTGGACATCAGCATCCTCGGCTGCAGCTTCCTCCTGCTCCCAGCAGGTAATCCAGCTCAGCCCCCCCATATCATAGCCAGGGGGGTCCTGATGCCTTCTCCGCGTGGCTTTTGCACTGCTGGTACCACTTGGTGCTGGAAGCTGTTATTAAACCTGAAATAAAGCTTCAATAACCCCTTTACCCTGTGCTATGGGGTACCCTGACCCCATTGGGAACCCACAGTGGGTGATGGTGCTATCCAAGGTACAGCCTGGGGTGAGGGGATGATGCCCTGCAGATGGGCACAGGGCAGGATTGGTGTGCTCCATCCATGTCCTGCCATGGAGCAGGGAAACCCTGATGGGTTTGGTGACAATAGCCCTGGCTGTGGTGGGTGCAGGGGGATGTGGTTGAGCACAGGGCTCCAGCAGCATGGTTGGGAAGCTGCAGCTGGTACCTCCTCTTGCTTTGAACTCATGGGGATGCTGAAGCCGGCAAAGTTGTGTGTGCCATGCCATCACGACATGATGGTGAGCGTGGCTGATCCAGGTGTGCAGGGTGGTGTGGGAGGAAGCTTTCAGGCAGTTTAAATACCTGTACCTATGTCTGAAAAACAGGTTTAGGGCTGTGGCTGGCTTGTTTGGGTGTAGCAGCACCTCTGCCCCGGCTCAGAGGTGAGCAGGGCAGCAGCACATGTGCGTGCCCAAGCTCCTGCCCAGCTGGTTTCTCCACAGGGTTCCTGTGCCTGCGGTCAGCCCAGGCTATCCCTTTCCTGGCTGGTGTCCTCACCCTTGGCGTGGTGCATCATACCCTGACAGTGAAGGGCAGCCACCTGGCCAGCCACAATGCCTTGACCGAGTCCAAGTCCTGGGGCAAAGTGTGGGCCATCTTCTTCATTGAGGTGAGCAGGGCTGTGGGGTTTGGGTCCCCCCACATCCCCATCATCTCCTTGCCAGCATCTCAAATCCTTCAGGATCAGCCACCTTCTTTTCCAGCCTGGTTTGGAGCCTGTGGAGTGCAGAGCATCCCCTCTGGGTTCCTCTCCCATGACCCCAACCCTGGTGCTGTGGCTGTAGGCATCTCCTCTCCTTTCTCTTCCCTCCCAGCTCTGCTCAGCGTTCACAGTCGAGCAGGCCACTTACAACCATGTGAAGATCCACCATGGCTACACCAACGTCATCGGCCTGGGGGACTCCAGCACATGGAAGCTTCCTTTCCTGAACCGCTACGTCTACATGTTCATCGCGCCTCTCGCGGTGCCCATCTTAACCCCTCTGGTTGCACTTGGTACGTGTCCCAACCACCTTGGGATGGGGTGCTGGGTATGGTGAGCTTGTTACTGAGCAGGTCTCACCCTACCAAAGGGTCCTGACTTGTTCGGAGCCATCAGGGTAACTATGCAAACCCATGGTGGGATACAGGGCTGCAGCAAAGGCAGACGATGCTGCACTTGCTCCGGGGAATGCATCTGCTGGTGCTCAGAAACACTTCACATTTTCCTATGTTGGATGTTGAAAGCTCTGGCAAAGGCCATCGTGAGCCTGAATCACCCCAAATTTGCTCTCCTTTAATTCAGCCCCTTGGCTGTAGCACAGTTTGGTGTTATACCTTGGTCTCTCGTGAGAGCATTGATTGCATGGGGTGTGTTTGATGACTGTGTTTGATTGTGGGGCTGGGAAGCAACAAGCTTGGGCAGACAAAGTGGTGGCACAGAGGAAATGATAGTGCCAGGAAATGATCATGGAGAAGAGGCTGAGGAAGCCCAGCCCCCTTGGTTGAACAGCTGTGGGCAATGCCACAAGCATGGACAATGACTTGGCACGTTGTAAGACATGAAGATGCATCCCAGTCCCTGTGTGGTGTTGCACAGCTGGACCCTCAGCCTGTCCTGGAGACCCAAAAACCAGGCTGGGGGTGTCAGGCCAGTGTGGATGATGGGGAAGGGGAGATGGAGGGTGGCATGAGCTGTAGGGTTATCGGAACACAGCTTGGTTGCTGGAGCAGCAGTGGTGGCAGGAAGGGTCAGCTCCTCTCCCATGTGGTGCTTCTTCCCTATGCAGATTTGTTGAGGAATGTGGAGTGGAAAGCAGCTCTCCGGACCCTCTGCTGCATGTCTCTGGGTCTCTACTGCCATTACTGGCTGCTGCTCCACGTCTCGGGCTTCCAGTCGCCGTGGTCCGCCCTGCTCTGCATGCTGCTCACCCGCTCTCTCCTGGCCCATCCCTACATCCACGTCAACATATTCCAGGTAGAGACCTGAGGCTCCAGGATGTCCTGATGGTGCTGGGGATGCGTCAGACTCCACTGGTGACACAGCCCTGACACTGCTGGGTAAAGCTTGGTTGTCACCTCTCTTGTGCCGATGTCGTCATGGGGAGGGTCAGGCTGGTGGTGCTGGGGTTGGAGAACATAAGGGCAGATGGGTGAACATGGGGCATGAGGGTCACCTTCATGCTCTCGTATGGCCAGAGCTACGGTTGGCCCTGATGGGTCCGGGGGGGGGTGTTGGGTGCTGTGGGGTGCCCACGCTGCCTCTCCCGCAGCACATCGGGCTCCCCATGTTCGCGGCCGATCGGAAGCCCAAGCGGATCCAGCTCATGAGCCTGGGTGTGCTCAACCTGCCCCGCAACGCGCTGCTCGACTGGTCCTTCGGCCACTCGCTCATCAGCTGCCACGTGGAGCATCACCTCTTCCCCAGCCTCTCCGACAACATGTGCCTCAAGGTGAGACAGCCCATGGCGTGGATGAAGGTTGCACCAACCATGTAGATGAGGCCCTCGGTGGCACGGGTTAGTGAGGTCTTGGCAGTCCTGAGGTAACGCTTGGGCTTGATGATCTTAGAGGTCTTTTCCAACTTAATCGATTCCATGATTCCCTCTGTTCCTACTCCCATTTCTCCTGGTTTTCCACTCCTTGCCTCTTCCCCTGCTCCCAGTTCCAGCCTGCAGCAGCCAACCCACGGTCTGGGATCCTCCCAGCTCTTCCCTTGGGGAAAGCATCTCCATTACTGCTCAGTCTGGCTTTTGGTTCAGATGAAGTCCAGGCAAACCTCCCCTAATCTTGGTTTTTGCTCTTACCTCTTGCTCTGAGGTGTGGGGTGTATTCAAACTGACACTGCCTCAGCCCTGGGGGATTCCAAGGCAGGTCCATGTGCCGCCCTTCAGCATGGGATGTCCACTCATTCAATGCCGTGCACTTGCTTTCAGTCTCAGGTTGGGGGGAAAAACAGAAGTAATAGTGAATAGACAGATCAGGAGCACTATGGGCTTTAGGTTGTGCCCTTCTTTGAGTTCGTGGGGCTGGCAGGACCTGCTCCCCATAGAGGTGTGTTGCAGGGAAGGGGTAATTAAGCTGGTGGCAGCCTCCCAGCCCCGGTGCTGAGCTGCTGTGTGGGCACCTGAGGATAACCATGGGTGTAAGTGATGAGCATGTATGGGTGGCCCTCATTAAAAGCCTCATTAGGAGATCTCTCCTAATCCCGAGCCCTACAAAGGTGTTTTGCCAGGGTGAAGTCCCTGGGTTGCTTTAACAGGAAAACGCCTTCCTCTTAATCCTCATGGCTGGTGCTGCCTTCTCCAGCCCTGTTTTGGTAATGTGGGATGGGTTTTATGAGCACCTTATGGAAGCTCAGCCTGGGAACCTTGTACAGCCTGTATAGGGATGACTTTGCCTTTGCAGATCAAACCCATCGTCTCCCAGTACCTGAAGCAGAAGAAGCTGCCATACAATGAGGACACCTACACCTCCAGGCTCCGTCTCTTCCTCCAGAGATACGAGGAGCTCATGGTCCACGCTCCCCCCATAACGGAGCTGGTGGGCATCCAGTGAGGATGGGACCCCAGGACTCTGGGATGTTTCCTGCAGGGACTTGTGACAGCGATGGCTTTAGCAGGATTGGGGCAACACAAACGCCTCCATAAAGCCATCATGTAGGAAACATTTCCCCCCTATATCTTGCTTTTGGCTTGATAATGATGCACGGAGCCCCTGCAGGAGCAGAGCCAGGAAGTGCATCTCCAGGGACAGGAAAAAGGGGGTATCCCCAGTTATTCCCAGCCAGGGCTTAGTTTTATCCACTCTGCTTTCATGCTTGGGGAGAGGAAACCTCTTGTCTGCTGGCTGTGGCCTCCCTGCAACAGGACCATAGGAGATGCAGCGCTGTGTCCAGTGCATCCGGAGCTTGTTCCACGAGGATCTGTAGGATGGAGCTGCAAATGTGTGGTTGGAGGCTCAGGGAAGGGCTTGGATTATGGGGAGGGGGTTGGTCACTGCTGCCTGCGCTTTGCAAGGCTCTGGGGTGAATCAGTCCCTTCTAGGAACAATGATTTGGCAAATTCAGCCTTAAAACTTTGAGATGGAGCTTCTTTGTTATTGGGGTTTGCTGCTGGAGCAAGTCTACTGGTATCCAGTGGTACTCAAAGGTGGGGAAAAGACTCTCACCCTGTGCAGGGGCATCTTCAGACCCAGCGGAGAAGGGTCCTCATGTGGATGCTGTGACACAGGGCTGGAGCTGGGATGGCTGTGGTATGTCCCTGTGTAGCAGATGCAGACTTGGGGGCAGGGAAAGCTGCCCTTGGATCTGTCCAGTGTGACCCTTTTGGCATCAGGAATAGGGAATTACTGATTTATCCTGGGCTGAGACCCAGGGGATGCTGATGCCCTGCGCTGATGGCATTGCTGTGTCACCCCTCACTGGCCCCATGCAGGGTTTATTGATCCAGGATGTTGTGAAACGTCCAAAGGGCGAATCTTTGCCCTTTGAGCATGGGTTATCCTGGGTGTGTAGGCTGGGGAGAAACAGGGGGGCTGGACCAAATGGCCCAAGTGCTTGAGGGGATCACCCAGGGCTCAGGGATGGCTTACACACACACACACCCCCCCCCCCCCCCCCGAGCCCTCATGATTAGTTTCTTAATTAAGCTAAATTAAGAGTGCCCCAGCAAAGAAGGGGATGCATTAGCAGTGCTTTCAGTTGGGATAATCTCAGCCCCATGTGTTTTGTGGGTACAAAGCGCTCTTTCTCTTTCCCTGTTGCAAAGAAATTGGTCCCAAAATGTTTCTAAGCACTGGAGGGAGCAACAGCCCTTTCCAGGGCTGGATTTCGTGGCTGTTGTTTAACGCAGTGCCATCTAAAGGCAAATGCTCGCAGGTCCTTCAGCCAGCCGGGGATGTGATTCGGGAGATATGGGGATTATTCCCTGTCAGAAGAGGCAGATACAGCGGAGGCTAATGGGGAACCTGTGCTCAGAACCTTCCAAATTCCTGCCTCAAAATATGCCTCAGATTCAAACTCGGCTCTTCTTGTGGGTGATATCAGTGATGATATTTGGAATGGAGCCTCCAGCCTCGCCTCTCTGGGCAGGGGTTGGCAATTGCTGTGTTGAGCTGAGGCTGGGGGCTTGGGAAAGAGACTTTAAAGCTGTTGGAAATCCTGGTCCTCCCTGCACCCCCCCCCGCCCCCGAAGGAGTGGGTGCAGGTGGGGTACGTGCCCAGCTGCTGTTCTCAGCACGCAGAAATCCATGAACTAATTCTCAAATCCATGCGCAAAGCATGTGGGGTTTATGACCCTTATTAAAACCAGCTTCTAGCTGTACACTCCTCTTGGTGTTAATTGCTTTTAAAAAGCCCCATTAATGCTCGCCTGCGTGCTTTGGCATCTGTCCCACCGAGATGCTTTTCCTGCCTGGTGTATCGCACAGGGGCTGAAGAAGGTCTGGGTCTTTCTGCATGGCAACGGTGAGTAGTTCTATTTGGAATGACCCAAGTGATGGGATTAAGGAGGAAATAAAGTAGGGACAGTGGGGAGGCTGGGGCAGGGGCTTTGGCACTAACGCTTTATCCTTTATTGAGGGGATGCTGTGGGTTTCACTGTGAGAGAGGCTGACGGCTGCACGGGGGGGGAGGATTAATCAGTCTGAGCTGCTGTTTTCCGCCGGAGACCTCCGCAGTTAATCACTCTTGGCAATTAAAGGGCGCTCGCAATTAGCAGCCGCAGGGATGCTACTGCCCCGGGCAGCAGGCAGAGTACCGCGGAGGCTTCGCCATAGAGAGCGGTGGCGAGGGCGACCACTAGACAACCTCTCCTTCTCTAGCTCTATGGTATTTCCCATTTCCGGACAGCCGTAGCGGCAACGGCATGCTGCCATTGGCTGAGGGTGAGCGGGGGCGTGGCCACGTGGCGATGTGTGGGCGGGGTTATGCTAATCAATCCGTGGTCTCGGTTCGTGATTGGTCTGCTGGGAGGAGGGGCGGGGCCAGCGGTGGCGGGGATGGGACCGAGCGGTGCGTGCTGGAGGCGCGGCGGCGGCGGCGTCCCGGGCGGTGAGGGGCGGGGCCAGCGTGTCCCGGGACCGGGGGTACCGGTACAACGGGGGCTGCGGGAGCAGGGACCGGGTGAACCGCGGCCGAGCGGCTGCGGGAGCCGGGAGCGGCAGCGCCGTGCTCCAGCCCTGGAGGAGGGAGGGAGGGGTGCGGGACCGGAATCCTCCGGTGCACGGGGTCCCGGTTGCGGCGCCTCCTGCCGCCAGCTGCCCCCCCCGTCCCCACCGGGCCCGGCTCCGCCGTCAGCACCAAGGCCACGGGCTTGGCCGAGCGCGGGGGCCGCAGCCTTGACCCCCCCCGCCAAGTGTTTCCGCCTCGCACCGGGGGTACTTAAACCGCGGGCGGCCGCCGGCACCGGCTGCACACGATGGCTGCGGCGGGGGGACGAGCCCCGCTGGGTCCGTGCTGGGCGCTAGGGGAGGGCGATGCTGGGCTGGGGTCAGCCCGTCCCGCACGTCGCATCCTCTCTGTCCTTTCCCCCTCCAGGCCTCCGGCGATGGCTGTGCTCGGCTGCCGCGGCTCCCCGGGTCTGCGTGGTGGGCAGCGGGCCCGCGGGCTTCTACACGGCTCAGCACATCCTGAAGGTACCAGGGTAGGGCTTTGGTGGGGGGTGAGGATATGAGGGGGGTCTGCAGGCTGCTGGGCTTGAAGCACGGTGGGGAGGCAGGTCGGTGAGGTTGGGGGGGTGCTTGGGGCAGCCCAGACCCTACAGAGTCCTCCTGAGCCCCTTTTAGGTGCTGCTGCCTCCATCCCTGCCCTGCCCCTGGGCCAGACCCAAGCCATGATGCTGTGAGTTCAGCTTAAGTGGTTTCTATAGAATTGGAGATCTGCCTGCTTGTAGCTGTTGTCACCCAATAGGGATGACATTAACCATGTGTTAGCATGCAGAACCTGCCTCCTCGTCCCCACCTGAGTTAAGACATGCAGGTCACCCCTTCCCTGGCATCTGTGAAGGTTTTTAGTGCTTTGGGCACTCAGGTTTCTGATGGGAAATGAGACCTGAGCACAAAACTGTTGGCACTGAGCAGAGATGCAGCAGCTGAACCCCGTCATTAAACTGCTGTGTTGTCTCCAGTTGTGTTGGATAATAGCTGTTACTGAGCCTCAGGGACACATTTCAGGGCTGCTTAATCCCCGAGTCAGACTCAAAATATGAGATAACAAAAGCCTTGCAGCAGAGCATCTCTCTGCAGCTCTGACCTCTGCCGAGGGCTGGCAGACAGCCTGGGGTCCACCAGCACCCAGTGCTGGCTGCTTCCCACCCGGTGTGGGGGCTCCTTGTCAGCCCCCCCGGTACTGGGTAGCTGCTGGGTTAGTGTGGAAGGGGAGCTGTGGGGTGGGCAAGAGGATGGAGCCCCTCGTGAGATGTGCTTGATGGTGGTTAAGGTCACTCTTTACTACACCTTGTGATCTGAGCTGGCAGTACCAGGTACAGCATCATCCTGTGTGTGGAAGGGTCCAGAAGAGGCAGTTGCTGGCGGTGGATCTTGGTGCTGGATCTTCCTCCTGCCTTGTGTCTTCCCCAGCAGCAAAGCCTTGTGTGTCCCTCTGGAGCTGCTGGGCTCATGTGGCCTTTCTGTCCTCATCCTTTAACCATGACTTCCTTCTGCAGCACCATGGTGGGGCACAAGTGGACATCTACGAAAAGCTGCCTGTTCCCTTTGGGCTCGTCCGGTTTGGGGTGGCCCCAGATCACCCTGAAGTCAAGGTTGGTGCTGGCTTCCTCCCCTTGCCAATGCGGTGCAACATGATGGTGGTGGGTGCAGGCAAGGCATTTGGGAGCAGAGATCTGCTGTTGGGGGTGATGGAGTTGGGCTGTAGGAGGAGTGGACATAAAGGTGTGGGTCTGGGGCAGTGTCTGCAGTGTGCTGCTATCCATCCTGTTACCAGGCTGAGCCCAGTTGGAGCTGCAGAGGAAGGAGTGCTTTTGTTCTGGAGCCCTGATTGCTCTGAAGAAAAGGGTTTGGGCACCATCCTGCCCTGTGCCCTCTCACTGGGGTGGGGTTGAGATGAGAGGCTGGCAGAGGAGGGCTGGCAGGCAGCACCCTCAATGGAAGGGGTTGTTTGGTTGGACTCCCTTGCAAGCACTACCTTGGAGAAGCAGTTTTCTCCTACAGTGAGCTTACTCAGCAGTGCCAAAGGCATTGGAGGGGCCCTGTCCTCCTGCAGAAGATGGATTTTCCACTCCACACAGGGTGATGGAAAAAGCGAGCGCCAAGTCCCAGCCTGTGCTTATCTGCCCCTGAGTTATCTGCGGCTGGTGTTAGATAAGAGCCTCAGAATAACTGCCTGGGCGAGGGGGTGACGCATCTCAAGGCCAGGGGGAGAGGAGCAGGCCTTGGCCCCTGGGCCTCGCACGTAACTCCCTGGTGCTTGTTTGGTGTGTGCAGAACGTGATCAACACCTTCACGCAGACGGCGCGCTCGGGGCGCTGCTCCTACCACGGCAACGTCAGCGTGGGCAGGGACGTGACGGTGGCAGAGCTGCAGCAGGCATACCACGCCGTGGTGCTGGTGGGTACCACGGCCTGTGCTCATGGGGAAGGTTCTGTGGGGTTATTGCACTCTGGGGTCTTGGGATCAGGGTTTGGGTGAGGTGTTTCTGGGTGCTTTATCACCATGGTGGACTGTGCCCGTGCCTGGGACAGCTCAAGCTGGGGGCATGTGTTAGAGCGTGGCATCAAATACAGGTCTCTGAGACCCTGCTGTGTGAGGCAGTGATTGAGGAACCTCTTCCGTGCGATGGCCAGTACCTATTTCAGCCCAACATGGATTTGTCCATCCTGTTCAGTCCTTGTTGTGCTCTGCCTTGGCCCAAGGAGGTCAAATTTGGCTCTGGAGCCCATGGGGATGGGGTGGCTGAAACATCTGTGCTTGGGCTGTGTTTAGCTCCTCCATTCAGTATCCCAGCCCCTGGAGGGGTTTGCAGTGGTGCAGTGTCCCTGGCAGCAGCTGGAAAAGGAGGTTTGTGGTTTGGTATCACCCCTTGCACACGGTGACATCTCTGACCATGTCCCTTCCTTCCTCAGAGTTATGGTGCTGAAGATAACCGGGTCCTGGGCATCCCAGGGGAGAACCTCTCTGGTGTCTATTCAGCCCGAGCATTTGTGGGCTGGTACAACGGGCTGCCGGAGAACCAGGATGTGAGTACAGCCAACATCCCTGCCCTTCCTCCCCATCCTGCGTCCAAATACAGGCATTCAGCTCCAGATTAAGTCCTGAAAGGCCTGCAATTGGAAAAGATTAGCAGGCATCACGTTAAATCCTTCTTAGATGGTAGAAATGTGAACACTTTGCACATCAGTGAGAGCGGATTAGCTGGCTCTGGAGGTTGGCAGCGCATTTTGGCTGGGCCAGATGGGAACCTGGGGGTGTGATGCTGTGCTTTGACCTGGGGAGGTTTTCTTGGCTGAGAACAGCTCCTTCTCCCAGAGATGCCATCATAGGAAGAAGGGGAGAAGGTTGGTTGGGGTACCTGGAGCTGCTGTTTTGCTGTGTCTGCTTGGGGAGGAGGCTCGTGAGGAGTTTCCCTATTCTTTTTTGGGGAAAAGAGGGGCAGAAGGGAATTTGGGTGGTGGGAGCAGGTCTGAGGCCATCATGCTCACAGCTGGGTCTGTCTTGGCAGCTGAATCCTGACCTGAGCTGTGAGACAGCGCTGATTCTGGGTCATGGCAACGTGGCTCTGGATATTGCCCGGATTCTCCTGTCCCCACTGCAGCTCCTCAGGGTGAGTCCCAGGGACAAAGGCAGCCCAGGGCCCACATTCACTCCCTGCTGGATGGTTGCTGCTTCCCACCCATCTCAGCAGGACCTCAGGCTCTCCTCTCTTTGGGATCTTTCCTTTGGGGTGGGTGCTCCCCATGGATTCACAGTCCATAGCAGTGATCCAAGGCTCCAGCCGTGCCTTGGGTAACACTGCAGAGTTCTCTGGGTTGATCTGCTGCTACCTAAAATGTTGGCATTTGAGCCTCATCCCTTATGAGAAGCAAAGGAGGAGCTGCTTGCCCTATTCCACCACCAAAGTAGAAGCTTCTCCTGTTGGGATGGGTCTTTTTCTGCTGTAGCTGAGGGCAGCAGCCTGGATTGTGCTGCTAGCACTGGGCACTGTGGTGACTGATCCAAGCTGGTGGACCTCTCCTTCTGCTGCCATGCTCCTTTATGGCTGGGAGCTGGTGTGAGCCAGCTGCTCCATACAGCTGCTGCCCCAGATGTTGGCAGCAAAGGCTCTTCCTCCTAGAGAAATTCCACGAGGTTTCACAATTAAAACTAAATTAAAAAGACCCAACAACAACTTGGGGGTACTTCCAACCAGTGGCTAAAGCCAGCTGGGAAGCAGGGCTGGGAAGGAGTTGGTGCTGGAATCGAGTGCCATGGGGTGCAGGCAATTTAGGAATATTGGTCTGGAATGGTTTATCCTGGTTTCCTGGTGTCCCTCCCATTGTCTTCTCTGGAAAAGATCTTCCTGTGATCTAGATACATGCCCACAGTTGAGCTGGAGCACAGGGTTGCTGCAAGATGCCAACCACTGAGCCCATGCAATGCCTGTGTGTGTGCTCGGAGCTGCCTGGGGTGGGCAGGCAATGACTGAGCTGTGGTTTGCAGTGGGTTTCACCCACGTGCCTGTATATCCTGAGCTGGGAAATCACCCAGCAGCATCTGCAGGCATCCCGCAGTGGAGCTCGCTGGAAGGCTTCCCTCCATTAGCCCCAAGGTTAACCTGCTGGGGTGGATCCCCCGAGGCAAGCTCATGGGGTGCTGGCTCGTTGCCTCTAGTGCATTATGGCCTCGGAAAGCACATTCAGTGATGGGGGACCAGCTGTGCAAATAGCTCTGTGCAATGGGAGATGAGTTGTTTTCAGTCCTTGCCCATCTCTGCATGCACAGCCTGCTTTTCTGCTGATTGTTCACCTTCAGAGGCTGTGCCTTCCCCCCCAGCTCCCTTCGGGTTTGCCTTCATCCCACTCTCCCGTCTCTGTTCTGCAGAAGACAGACATCACTGATGGCTCCTTGGCAGCTCTTGCCTGCAGCAAGGTGAAGCGTGTCTGGCTGGTCGGGAGGAGGGGACCTCTCCAAGTTGCTTTCACTATCAAGGTAAGGCTTGCTTGGGGGTGCTGGAGGGCAGCTGTGTTTCCCAGCACTGAGCCCCAGGCTGCCCATCCCTGGTGGGGAGAGGTGGTCCAGGGATGGGTGAGGAGCCCGGGCATCCTTCCTGCACCCATCTATTAGCTCCTATCCTCACCTACTGGGGAAGGGGGCCTGGGGCTGTTGGGTGACCTCTCAGTGCTGGGGGTAACACCTTCCTGCCTGCAATCCCCAGGAGCTGCGGGAGATGATAAACCTGCCTGGTACCAAGCCTGTGCTGAACCCTGCTGACTTCACAAGCCTCGAGGATGCTGTTAGAGGTGAGGGAGGTGTGCTGCGGTCCTCCTGACGGTGACTCACCTCGACAGGCGAAAGCCAGGAGTGATCTGGAGATGCTCACAATGTGCATCAGAGAAACTCTTGCCTTGTGCTTAATGCATGGTGGCGTTAAGCAAGGTGACTGTGGTGTGGGTCATCCTTAGAGTGCCATGAAGACTAGGCCTGTTTCTCTGTGCAGCCACTTTGCTGCCTGGGAGTCATGCTTATGCTCTGGGTAATGAGGACAGGAGGTTCAGGAGGGCTGGGGGAACCTTGCAGGAGAGATTCCAGGGCTCTTGATTGAAGAACTTTCTGCAAAGCTAAAAGGAAAACACTGAGTTCAAGGGTGCCCAGAGACTTGCTGTTCTCCACAGGCTGCTGCCTCTGAGCACCAGCAAGGTGGGAGAATCACAGGCTTTGATTCATGTGTCCCACTGGCCTCAAGCCTCAGGAGCTCTCCTGATCACTTTGAGTTGCAGTTTGTCATCTTAGAGGTGTCGGATGCCCATCAGTATGGCAAACTCCAAATGGACACTCGTGTACCGCTGACACTGCTTTGGCATGGCTCTGTGCTGTGTCCCATGGGCCTTTTGCCCTAGTTCCCGTCCTGAAGCTCTCTCTTTCTTTCCTCCTAGATGCCCCCAGGCCTAGGAAACGCCTGACTGAGCTGATGATCAAAACGGCCCTGGAGAAGCCAGTGGGGACTGTGTCCCCCCGGGAATGGGGGCTGAAGTTCCAGCGCAGCCCCCAGGAGGTGCTGCCCACTGCTGATGGGAGGCGGGCGAGGGGCGTCCGCATGGCCCTGACCCGCCTGGAGGTACGGGCTTGGTATGGCCTGAGCAGGACACTGCTGCATCCTTCCAGCCCTTGGGAATCATTTGGAGACACCGTTGTCTTCCCTGCCTGGTTGGGTTGGCTCTTGGGGAAGCCAGTACCACCAAGAGCCTTTCCCACTCTAAAGGGAGCTGTTTTCATGCTGCTGCTGCAGAAACACCTTTGGGATCAGGGATGCCAAAGGGGAGTGGAGGAGGCTGTTCTGTATCTGGTGACTGACATTCAGCAGCCTCTTTCTTCCCCTCTCAGGGCTCAGGTGACTCTGCCAAAGCCATCCCTACTGGAGACATGGAGGAGCTGGAGTGTGGGCTGGTGGTCAGCAGCATCGGCTACCGGAGCCTGCCGCTGGACCCGGCAGTGCCCTTCGACACCCAGCGTGGCATCATTCCCAACAGCTCAGGCAGAGTGGAGGGTGTCCCAGGTCTGTATCCACAGGGATGTGGGTGGGACATGTGGAGTGCAGCTGGTGGGATGGGAAGCTCTGTTCACCAAGGGCATGGACACAAGGTGGTTGCATACCTCAATAGGAGAGTGGAAACAGGAAATGAGCTGCCTCTGTCAGTGTTAAGACCTGGCTTGTCCTCAGCTTGTGTTCGGGGGGTCTGGTTTTGTACAAGGGGACTTTACTGGGCCTCGGAGTCTGTTGCTAAAGCAACACAGCCCATAGAGCTGCTTAGTACATCTGCAGGTACACAAACTCCCGTGACAGCACTGACAAAGGGCTGCACTCTTCCCACCACAGCTTGATGTGATGCCCATGGATAGGGAGGATCCATAGCTCCATGCTGAACCGAGCCTAGCTGCTCCGTGTGTCCATGCAGGTCTGTACTGCAGCGGGTGGGTGAAGAGAGGACCCACAGGTGTGATCATCACCACCATGAACGACAGCTTTGACACTGCCCAATCTGTGCTGGAGGATCTCCAGAGAGGGGTGCTGGATGTGTCCACCTCCAGAGAAGGCTTTGGAGCTATGGAGAGCATCCTGCGCAGCCGAGGTCAGTTGTGGGGGGGCTCTGAGCCACTGTAGCAGCCAGCATGAAGGTGTTACAGAGCCAGATTCCTCCTGGGGTCCTGCGGGCCACTTCTGGGAGCAGAGTCTGAGCCATGCAAATGTGCTGTCGTTTCATTGCTCCAGAGCCAAGGGAAAGGGGGATTTGAATTCCATCAAACTCTGTGTCATTGATAAGGTTAATGACCACTTTCTGGTAAAGGGCCATTAAAAGCAGCACAGACCTAGGGTAAAATGTCACTGTTAGCTGCCTAGGCAGTGAGCTATTGCTCTTCAGTGGTTTTCCTGGTAACCCTTCCAAGCAAGTTGGGGGAAAGATTAAAATGCCCAAGAGAGTAATTTGCTGTTGCTGTGTTTAAAGGCATTCAATTAAAGTGTCTGTGTGTGTTGCCTCTTAACTGACTGAGGCTTAACAGTGAACTTGTCCCCTGTGGTGCTGCCATGCTCGCAGTTGTTAACAGCTCGCAAAGCTCTGACTGATCCAGGCTGACTGGAACCTGCCATCCCTCTGCTTGTGGTGTTAGGAATCGTTACTCCTTTGTGAGGCTGAAGTCTGGCGCCGTGTCAGGAAAGGGCAGGCTTCCCTGGCACATCAGGTCCCTGCTGATGGGGAGGTGAGGCTGCACTCGTTTTTACTTGATGAAGTTCTCTCTCCCATCTCTTGCTGTCACTCCAGGGGTCCGTCCTGTTTCCTTCTCGGACTGGGAGAAGATAGATGCTGCTGAAATGGCACGAGGCAAAGCTGCTGGCAAACCCCGAGAGAAGATCGTGGATCTACAGGAGATGCTGCGGATCATCGGTCACTGAAGCACCAGTGATGGGAATGTGGTGCTGGTCCAGCTGGTGCTGTCCTGGGGCAAGGCCGGTGCGTTACAGCATGGCCTAGAGCACGGGGCTTGTGGCTGTGCTGGAGAGGGGACACTCGAGCTTCTCTAGTAATGATGACCTGTGGGCTCCCAAAGTGAATGGCTCAAAGCACCTGAGGCTGCTGGCTGGCCCTGCACCTCTGCAGCCAGCACTCCTGGGGCTGATAATTGTCACTTGTGTCCTTCAAGCATTAATGAATTGGCTGGTGCAGGTAAAGGGAGCCGTGCCCTTGGTGGGAGGCCTGGCCAGGCGCTTTCCCCATGGCAAATGGACAGAGAAACCTCCTTGTGTCTCGCTGCCTCCCCTTTAAGCCTCAAGCCAAATGGCTTCATTGCCTTGCCACTGGTGCCTGAGCAGGCTGCTTTGGGTAATAGTTGGTTTTTAAATAAACCCTTCCAGGAAAGCCAAATGGGAGCTGCTGCTTGAGTCTGGCTTCTTTGTCTGTGATGCCTTCCTCTCGGAGCAGCCAAGCACCGTGTCTCAAGGCAACCAGTTCCCCTCGTGCAGGGAGGGACCGTTTGCTCTCTGCTTGTGAGCTCTAAACAGACAAGAACATTAATTTGCTTTCTGCCTCCTGCAGTTAAGCCCCAGCAGAGCCTGGGTTCTGGATCCTGGGGTGGATTGGGATAACAAGCGTGTAATTGCCTTGTTCTGGATCATGAGGGATCCTGTGTTCGCTGGTACCAGCCGGTGCTGGCTGGTGCAAGCCCTGCCTTGAGCTTTACTTCCCTCACTGGTGTGGTTCTGGTTTTTGGCCCGTGTGGTTTGGAAGCTTATTAAATGCTTCCCTCAGCCCGAATTGACTGCGGTGACGGTGTCAGGTTTTAAGCCAGATTACAAGCCGTGAGCCATAATCTCCTCTTTATCCACAGCACAGGGGCCCTGTCAGCGTGGCCTCCTCCTCTGGCCGCCCTCACCATCCTGCACTCCCCATGGGAGCACTGCAGGGCCCCAGCCGCTCCTCTCTGACCTGTGTAAGTGGTTGTCACTGGCGCCTCTGTGATGGAGGCAAAGGGGAAATCAAAGGTGGTGGGGTTTGTCTCGGGTCCACGCTCAACCTCCATCTCTAAGCCTCTCCTATGGTAGAGAGTTTGTCCACTGGGTGCTGTACACCCACCCCATCTCTGGTCCAGCCTTAGGGGAGGGAGATCTTTCCCTCATCTCCTTTTTTCCCCCCTTTCCTTTTCTATTCCAGTCTCATTTGCGAGCTCATTAAGGAACTCAGGAAATGTGATCCTGGGAACTCGTACGCAAACGAGCAATAAAGCTTTTGTGGAACAGCTGCTTGTGTGATGGGGCTCTCGATACGTCTCGGGGCTGATCTGATGCAGCCTTAACGCTGAGCTCTTGAGCGTTAGGGTAAAGCTCTGGGTTCGGAGGTGAGGAAGCTCCTTGAGAAGGGGGCTGAAGTGATGGGTTTCAGGGCAGGGAGCAGCTCTTTTGGTAGATGGCCCAGCCAGAATCGTCATGGTGAAAGGGTGGTTGTGGCTGAATCAAATCCGTAGGTATCGGGAAGGGATGAGCCAGCTCTTCTGTAGGGTTTTCTTCCACATCACCTTGAATGTTGATGTTGGGTGCTTTTGCAGCCGTCATACAGTCACGGTGCTTGTGCTGCACATGGCAAATGGCTGTTGCCAAACTGGTGATGCTTGCTTCAGCGTAGTTTTGGGGCTGTGGCAGCAGATGAAGGGGAGTGTCTGTCTTTGCTGATCCCAGTGTCCTTGCTCAGCACAGAACCCAGCCAAAGCCCTGGGGTCTATGCTTGGGCTGTGCGGAAGCCATGAGACAATCAAGGTCAGTGAAGGGCAGGGTCTTCACTTCCTTATTCAATACCTCCAGCTTCCCCTTCCTCTGCTGCCTGCATCCTCAGGCCCCAGCCAGGTGTCCCCATCACCATGGATGCTCTCCATCCTGTTCTCTGGGGACCGGGATGCATCCGGCTTCCTCAGGAAGGGCCTTATCCCGGTTGCTGTGTCGTTAGGTGGCGCTGGGAGGCCGGTAATGGGGAGCAAGGGCTGAGTGGGGATGGAGGGGTGACCTGGCACCCCCGGGGGGGGTGACGAAGCTCTGCTTGCCTGGGCCCTCATGGAGCCTGTTCACACTCAGGTTCTGCTTTTAGGTGTGAATAACCCTGTGTTTGCTCCCGGTTATGTCCCCGTTGTAGTGGTCCAAGGGATGAGGGGGCAGCCACCCCTGCGCCCTCCGCTTCCCGAGCAGCCAAAGGGGCATCTCCAAAGCCATTTCCCACCCCAGGAAGGCGATGCTGTGAGTGATACCCGCTTGCTGCTGGAAGGAGGCTGGAAGAGCTGAAAGTCATCACTGCCGGTTCTTAATGTGGACTTCCCTGCTCCAATGAGTTATGGCTCAGCTTAGCCTTAATGAGACTGCACAGAGCTGGTGGAGATCAGCATCTGGTGAGGGCTGGCCTCGAGACCAGCCAAGCAAGGCTGAGCGGTTCCCTCTGCTCTGAGAGGGATGGGTACAGAGCAGAGAGGGCTCGCCACGGTGTGGGGTGGTTGCACAGTAAATGCTGTTCGGTTGGGTCTCTGCAACCTCCTGCTGCTGCTTGGTGCGGCTGTGCCTCGGTTTCCCCGCTCTGCAGAGCTGTGCAGGGGAATTCCTCTGTTACCCCGGGGCTCTGCCTTGCTCCTGCCAGGCAGCTTGGGGTAAGCCAGGGAAGAAGCAGGTCTGAGGCGCCCCACAGGCTCCTGTTGATGCTGCATTTGTTACACCCAGGAGACAAGCGTGGAGGCTCTTGCTGGCTTTGCTAATGGGCTGCCTGATTAACTTGGCCTTTTCAAACGTGCATTTAGAGCCGGTGCTCTGGAAGAAGGGAAAACCCAGCTCCAGCCAGGACTCTGGCAGTGAAGAGCTGTTTAAAAGCCATTTATGCCACCAAGAAAATGATTGGAAAAGCTTTTCCGTGGCATGGCTAGCACGATTCCCCATCCTAAGCGGCCACAGAAGCGGTGTCCGGCTTTACGCCGGCCCCTCACCGCATGATCCATGGAATTGCGGCATCGGAAGCCCAGGTCAGTCCATGTGTGCCGGGGCTTTGCTTGGGAACAGATGGCTCCGGGGTGTGCTGACCTCAGCGCTTTGGCTGAGCACAAGCACCAGCCCCTGCGTGCGCCCGCCCCTCCCGGGCACATCTTGTCATACCTCGTGTGTTCTCTCCACGCTCATCCCCATCCCTGGGGATGGGATGGGAACAGGTTGGGTAACAAGTTCTGGGTCACTGGAGCGGGTAACCAGCCCCACCGTGTCTGGTACCATCCCTCCTGGCACAACATCACTCCTTCTCTGAAAGGACCCCAAGCACATCCCTGCCTCCAGACCCACCCAGCCTTAGAGCTCCAACCTCTTGAGGCTTCCTGAAGTCTTGCCTATGGTCAGAGGATTGTGCAGGGCTGGAGTTTTCCCCTCTGTTTGAATCACTTTGTAAAGTCATTACTTTTGGAGCTGCGTGAACCCATTCCCCAGGCCAGGAGGGGAGCAGAGGTGAAGGAGATGTGAGCTCCCAGCAGCTGCTTCGAGGAGCTATTTAGGGATGCGACAGCGGCAAATGAAGTTGTTGGAGGGTGAGGGCTGGTTACGCCCCAGAAAGAAACCATTTCCTCCCTTCCTGGGAAGTTTCCATTTCCAGCGCGCTGGCTTTGGCTGCCTGATCCCCCATCTCCGGTCCGGGGCAGCCCCGCAGGCACACGCCACCTCGGGAGGAGGAATTATCCCCGCAGGGATGAAAGCATCCCTGTTTATTTTAGCTCCCTTGATTACCGTGAGGGTGGGACACGGGGGCAGCGGAGCGGAGCTGTGCCGGATCCGCGCAGTGCGTGCATCATTCACAGCGTTATCCCCGTGGCCTCTCTCCCAAATTTCTCCTTGCTCTGTTTTCAGCTTCGGTTGCTTTTGTGGCTGCTGGGATCCAAGGCACCAGCCGGCTCTGCGTGCGTAAACACCTGAGTACCCCTATGGGATGGAGCAGAGAAGGGAGGTGGGGATGGTGCCTGAGGATGGCAGGTCCAGGGCTAAATCTCTGGTGTCAGAAGCGTCACCTGCAGCACAGCCCTGGCAGAGGGACCTGTGTGCTGCGTCCGACGTTGGATGTTGTTATTGGGATGCAGTGCCCATGGGGACAGCCTAAGCCCTGTCACCCTGCCCTTCCAGGGACCGCTCTGGCTTTGCGCTGGCAGTGCACAGACTTGGATCGCCTCCTTCCCTAAGACCTGATTTTAGGATGCACTCAGGTTAAAAACCTTTGGCTGAGTTTCTCCTACAAAAAGGAGGCTGACAGTATGGGTTTGCCCTGCAGAGCTGGAGATTTTAAAGACACTGGTTGAAGGTGTCTTGGCTGTGGATGCACCTTGCGGGCGGATGCTTTGGGTAGGGACATGGGTGCAGGTTTATGCTGGGAGGTGATGGGCTCCCATTGACTCTGCAGGGCTGGGAGACCAGGATGGAGGTGGCTGGGGCAGGATGCACTGTTCAGGGCTTTACCCCAGCTTGAGATGTGGAATGTCAATGTGGGGTTGCAATGGGATGCAAGGAGCCTGCGTGGAGTGCACTCTTCCCTGCAGGAGGTGGCTGCACACCAGGAGCTGTTGGAACACGGTGCCTTTGCATTCATCGACTCTGCTTTCAGAGCCTCCTGCAAGAAAAGATATGAAGGAATGGATGAAGCTGAGGTGAGCTCCCACCTGTTGGTGCTGTTCTATGGGTGATGCTGAGTGTCCCATGCCAGGGTTCCACTCCGGAGGTATTAAGGAAGAGGTTAAAGGAGAGGGAAGGCAGCTTCATGCCCATGTTATCCCCACACAGCCCAGAAAGGTGGGCAAAGAGGGCAGAGCATCACAGGAGAGAGTGGTATTGGGGGGTTGAGGAAGTCTGACCATGAGGAAAGGTCCATCTGTGCCTCTGGGGTTGTGGGCTTCATCCTTAGGTGCTGCTGGTGCTTCTGTTTCCACAGGGACCTTAGTAGCCATCAGGGCACTTCTTTGGAATGTTGAAAGGACTCTTGTTATTGAAATGCACAGATAAGTTGATGGTTGCAGGCCCAAACCCAGCTGCAGGCTGGGGAGTCGCTGCAGGTTTGCCCAGAGAAATGGGGGTTTTGCTTTGGAAGGACTTTGCCAGGAAAACTGAACTCTTGGAGGCAAGCTCTGAGTGCAGCCGCTCACTCTGCAGCCTCAAATGCAAGCGCTGGCCAGGGGCTTTGCCTGGGTTTTACTCCAAGAGACAAGCCTGGAGGGGGCCCTGATGTATGTGTCTCCTCCAGTCCTTGCCCTGTACTGCAGACACCCTCCAGCTGTGCCCAGCGGTGCATCAGACCTGGGTTTGTCTCTGTCCCATGTGTGGGGTTAAATGTCGCGTGGGATGGAGGTGCTGGAATGTCATGTTGGGGGAGCCAGGAGGAG